ACCCTCCACCCTCCACCCTCAGCACAAGACAATCGATGCCTTCATCATCCTAAACATTTTGCATCTGCTTTGCAGATTTTTGCATCTGCACACAGAAGTGGGATGCTCTACAGACTAAGAATCTCTTTTGCAACTGCTGGAAATGGCCGCACTCGACATCCAACACGCTATAAACTCCCAGCCCCGTGACTTTTTACTGCCTCGCAAAAAGCACCTTCAGCTCCGACTCTTCGATAAAAGTTAAATGCTGCAGGTCTGCAGAAAAAAATATAAACCAATATTGCCTGCAAGCCTCAGTCCTAGAGAAATCAGAGCAGGCTCAGCAAGGTTCTTTGCACACCATCCATCAAGGCATCAACAAGTGCTGAGGGAGCAGGGAGACCTTTCAGGCGTCCCACCAGCTTCTGCTGGAAAACAAAGTTGTCCCTGATACATCAGAGAGCCCATACAGAGAGTTTTCGCTGAGATAACTCACATTTCAGACCTGCCATCTTGTTCCATCCACTGTCACGTCCCAAAATGGGGGAGAAGGGAGCTGGGTGCTTGCCAAAGGGAGGTTGCCAGCAGTTAAAAACTCAGCTAACCTCTGTCTTTTTTTCCTTAGCTGCCTCCTAAAAATATCCCAGTTCTTTCACGACACCCATCTGCAAGCCCCAGGCTAAGATCCATGAGTGATTAGTCGCTACCTAAGCACACCAGCGCGGTTACCAAGTGAGTGTTCAGACCCAAAACCACCTGGTCCCCGTCGAGGCAACCCCTGACACCTCACTTCCAGCATCCCCACGGGGACAGAAAGAACCCGGGGTACTCACGGCAGCGCAGCCCCCTGGGATGACACCAGCAATGAGGACGGGGGAGTCTCCTCGCAATGTGAACCCAAAACCGTTCTCTCCTCTCATCAGGTGGACTCTTCGTGCTGGGTACCATTTGTTTTTGGCTGAGAAAACTGAAAGGGGTCCCTGGGGTAAGGCAGAAACATGGAAAGCACCTTTCGGTGCAAGAACAACTCCCTGGGGATGTGCAACCTCAAAAAACACGGATGGGGAGGGAGGAGGCAGAGCAAGAAAACCTGTCTTTTGCATTTCTTTAAGGATGCAATTTTTGAGCCTTACCAGCGTTTTACGCTGCCTGCACGCCCTGAAATGCAGATTTATGCACTATAAAGCTAGAGGTGCTTAAAAATCCGTGTCAGACACTGGCTTTATGAACAACAGCAGCAGTTTTGGGTGAGCTGGGAAGGACCTCAGGAGGTCTCTGGTCCAACCCTCTGCCCAGAGCTTAGGTTGGGACATCCTCTCAGCATCTCCCCGCTCCTGCAAGGCAGGAGGAGGAGGTCTCGGCACAGTCAGCGAGCTGGCATCAGTTTAGATACTATAATCCTGGCACAAACAAAACAGAATGCTCGGGTGGGCAGAGGTGGCTCCTTAATTCCCTTCAGGAAACAACAACAAAAAAATCATCACTGCTGCCTGGCCCTAGGGGATGCAGCCTGGCAGGGGGGGTCCAGCAGCAGGGTATGAGGCGGTGGGACAGGTTGCCTCTTCAGGGTCAGATCCCTCCCACCCAGATCTTTCCTATTTTCCTATCTTTTTCCTACTTTTCTGTTCCCACGGGAGCAGGATATACCTGCCTGCCCTGGGGCTGTTCAAAAGCAGAGATGCCCAACCTCTCCCTGGGGTGCTACGCAGCCCTTGGGGTGCCTGGGGGAGGGAGACAGCACAGCCAGGTCCCACAGCAGCCCCAAAGCTCAGACCCGCTCCCCGGGACCCTGCAAGCCTAAAGAGGGCAGGGATAAAGATCCAGTGGGATTTTCCTGGTGCATCCCAGCTGGCCCCATCCTGCCCCCAAAATGCTTCCTCTAAAGGGTCCCTTCGGTCCTTCTCAGGTCAAGCCCACCCAAAATTCCTGTGCCCGCTCCCCTGTGTGCCAGAGGAGCTTCACAACCCATTTTTTGGGGGGTTTGCAGAGACAGGAGGTCTGTGCCCGCCCAGCCCTCCTCCTGTGGTCAGTCCCTGCCTGCAAGGAGGTGGCTCATCCTCCTTGGAAAGCCGGCTGCGAGCGCGGCGGCTGCACCGGGAGAGGGAGAAGAGGCTGCGGGGAGGAAGGGAACCAGGCAAGCAGAGCATGCAGGGGAGGAGGAGGAGATGGCTGCTCCCTCGGGACAACCTCTGTCCCAGAGCTTTACGTACCAGCCTGTGGAAGAGGTCGGTCACCTTCACCTGGGAGAAGTTGGGGGATTTTATCTCTGGTTTCTGGTGTGTTTTGGCTAGTGGTAGGGAGAGAAAAACACATACACTGGGGTGAGGTAGTCACGGCAGCTGCTGCCTCTACATCGTGCTCCCCGAGGAGGGGATAATATGACCCGTAAGAGCTGGGACCTGCTCAGGCACCTGCCAGACGAGAAACCCAGAGCCCCCACTCCCACCTGCGACGCTCCACTGCTGTGCAGGGAGCTCTGGGCCCACAGCAACACGCCCTGAACTCACCGTGGAGTTTGCCCACCCCGTGCAACCTGCCACAAATCCCCTCTCCAGCTGCACCCCTAAAACAAACACTTACGGTGAATGTCCGGGGCATCTCCAGTTTCAAAGAAGTCTTCCTCGTGGTCGATTTCTGAGTATTTACTCAGCGAGCGTTTGTGGGCGAAGGAGAGGACCTCCTGGAGGATATCCATCTTCCGCAGGATCTTGCACAAGCCGTGAATCCTCATGGCTTCCTCGTGCTTCATGATGGCTTTCTTCAGGTGAGCCTTGCCTGCAAGGGAGCAGAGAGATGGCAGCCCGAGCGGAGCAGCCCCGCCGCTGCCGCCGTTCCCT